TCCTCTCCTCTCCTGTTTACCTTACCTTCCTTAGGACACGAAAGGAGCAAGAAGGGAGGGGAAAGAGGGCAGGCAAAGGGAAAGGGGAGAGGGAAGGGAGGGGGGAGGCAAGCGGAAGGGGTTGTGGGTTGTGAGTACCCACGTGGGGAATTCTTCAATGACGTCATAATGGCGGTGGTAATTTATGAAGGTGACGAGAGTGTGTGTGTGTGTGTGTGTGTGTGTGTGTGTGTGTGTGTGTGTGTGTGTGTGTAGCGGTATAAATATCTGCTGAGTGTGCTATACCGATGACGCTATACTGTTGGTGCTATACAGATTGCTTCATTTACCTCCTGATTGCGTTTCCTGATGGCCAGGTATTATTGCGTTAAGGTATGGTAGACATTTGTAGCTTCTTGGTTGGGTAATGTGTTTTTTAAAGGCTTTGTATCTTCGACATTTTTTCCCCAACACGTATTATATGTCGATCGTCTTTTGTTTTCGCTGTGAGAATCATCTATTAGAATCTATCTGTTATTGTTTAGTTGCAAAATACCATCAATTATTATGGACATGATAATAAAATAGAACAAACAACAAATGAGTTAACTTTTTTAGCTAAGGGAATAAACATGAAAACAAATAAGTAATTAGAAAATTCCGTTTTACGCATCTTGACAGGCTATCTGGCTTCAAGTATAAACACAGAAACCAAACACTACATCTTTAGGATCCCGTAGGGTGTCAAGTTCCTAGAGCCTGTGTTTATGGCCACCAGGAAGGACTGAATTCCCCTTTTGTAGCCTCGCTCGACCCTCCAGTGTCATCCTCCTGATTCCCTATTGTCTTCAGGACGCGTTGCTCTTACCGCTGTGTTCATAGAAGCGGTAAAAAGTTTTATTGCTGATACCGCTGTTGGGTTGTATTGTGTTGTGGTTGTGTTGTGTTTATCTTTGATGTGTTGTGTTGTGTTTCTCTTTGATGTGTTGTGCTGTGTTGTGTTGTGTTGTGTTTTGTCTATGGAAGTCGTGACGTGTTACTGTACCTGGAAATACCACCTCTTAAAAATATGGGGTCAACCTTGAACGAGCGCCGCCTCAACCAGGATATAGATGGGCCCTTTGTTGATTCCCGGCCCATAGCCACACACACACACACACACACACACACACACACACACACACACACACACACACACACACACACGGGACTAGCAACTCATCATAACCTATCTTCATAAACACAAGAACATCTTTAACAATAAGTCAACGTTACCATATCTCTTCATGTTTAGTGTCGACAAAATGTGAACAAATGTGTCTTTTATGAGAGAGATAATGAGAATATATTAACCATTAACCCGTGAAAGGTGTTAATAGTAAGACAACCTGTCATTATCCCGTCTAAAATTATTATAATCGAGATGGTGTTTGGTGTTTTAAAGCGGCCAATAAACATAAAAACACACATCATATTGATATAAACCCGTAAGGTGTGGAAAAATATTCACTAACACACCGTAACAAAGACATGAATGTTCTTGTGTGCGTGGAGGCAGTCTTCAGGAAAATCTTTAAAATTTTGGGAAGACTTGATGAAGCTCTTGATGAATGGACGTCTTCCCAGAACGGTTCCCAAAATTATTCTTTGATGTTTAAGATCCACCTCTTCAGCTGAACGCGATGATAAACACTACACGAACTGGGTATTATGTTGTGTCGAGAAACGAGCTTTGGGTCTAGTTTATGTGGATCCTGGCAGCTCGGTGTATGTATGTTATGATTACGGTGCCTGGCAGGTTAAGTGGCCCAGTGTGTGTGTGTGTGTATTGTGTTCCCTGTGTGTATTAGTGTTTACTGAACAGAGAGTAGTGTCTCGGCGTCAAACATAGAGATCTTGGGCTTGGTTCCCTCTTAGCGATGACTCGACTTAATGAAGCAGCTTCGAACGTAATGGATTTCGAGTCTTTTTGAAATTTGAGACTATTCAAACAGATCCATAATGCATTTACAAAAAGAACACCTTACTTATAAAATGAATTCATCTCCCTTTCATTCTATTGTAACTTTAATAGTTTCATCTGGCGAGCACTAGACGATGGCACTCAACTGAGGAAATACCATCAGTATTATCAGAGCGTTATCGTGCACTGTAATCTCTTCCAAGTGATAAACACACTCTGTCCTCACTCCCAGCATCCGGCCAACCCTCCCACAGAGACACCTACCCTACCCCGACACTTCTCTACCCTCTACCTCCCTCTCACTACCGAATGCTTCGATTTCACACTTCAGAATTATTACTATTATTACTATCATCATCATCATCATCATTATCACCGCCTTCATCATCATCATCGTCACCGCCTTTATTATCATCATCATCATCATCATCATCATCATCATCATCATCGCCTTCATCATCACACCCACGACAGAAGAAGACAAGTCAGAGAGTGGAGTTCCTTAGGGTCGACAGCTGGGGTCATGGGATTCTCTTTACTAGCCTCGGCGTCATACAGTAGAGAACTAACCAACTTGAGGAAGAAAGTTGAACAGTGTGTCGTGAAGAGGGTCAAGGCGAGACAGCTAGGAGGTGAGAGAGAGAGAGAGAGAGGGAGGGAATAAGTGGGGTGAGGAGAGTGCATGAAGGAGAGGTTAGGTTAGCTTAGGTTAAAATAGGCAAAGATAGGATACGTTAGGCTAAGTTCTTTAAGGTTAGGTTAGGTTAGGTTTGGTGGGGTTATGCAAAGTGGGACACGCTTTACTCTCATCAGATTTCTTCCACACAATCCCTCCACTTCCCCTTCTTTCCCTCACATACGCATTTTCCTCCCCAATTAACCTTTCACCTACCCCTACCTCCATCCCTCCTCTCCTGGGAGTTTTTGTTGACATCCCTCACGGGGTTTAGTACCACCACTCGCCGTTGCAGATTAATGGCGCTGTTATCTCCACCTCTCCCTGCACCTTAACACACGATCTCTCCTATCTCTCTATCTCGTCGTGTTTTTGTCGAATATCGTCTCGCTGTCTCACTTATCTCCCGGCCTCACCTCTCCCAGAACTGATGAAAAATACGAACTTTTGAAATATCAGAAGGACGAGTTGTTATAATAAATTTTCCTGAAAAATCTTCCTCGAAAATGTTGGAGAAAATGTGTTATTAAATTCAATTTTCCTGAGACGTCGTGTTATTTCATTCAATTCCACCAGGGTAAAGGTGTTATTGAGGTGTTATTCACGCGTTATTTAATGCTCTTTGGACGAGAAGGGTGAGTTAGCAGTTCTCCACACAGCGTGCCATGGATTACACAGTCTTTGTCACGGCTTTCTTGTTTTATTTTCCTTTGGTTGAGTTTAGTCAACTTTTCCTGTTATAACTGATGGATGTTTTTCCTGTTAGGTTAGGTTAGGTTAGGTAATCATAATCTATTTAGTATTTATAAGAGTTTCTCTCCAGGTTCAGTACACAGCTTTCCTCAATCACATATTATCGAACAGATTTTAGTTATCCTTTGAGTCACCGAGTTGCTGGTTTTTTTTTCTGATTTAAAAGCTAATCTATTATTAACATTATCCTCGAGTGGTGGAACAGGATCTCCCGAAAATCGATTATAATGTCTGTTCATAAGTGTTCAAGATCAAGAGATGTAGTTATGATGTTCAGTGAGAATGAAATGTCCTCTTTATGAACTTCAGTGAGACTAGATGCCCCCTCTGTACCTTCCTTGACCACAGTTAAATTAAGAAGAAACAAGGCTTTAGGTCATATACGTTACTCTAAGACAAAAAAATATTTATCTAATATATCATTTTCATATATTGATTTTTATTAATTTTATAAAGATGTATTTTAATTCACAATATTAATTAGGGATTCTTCTTCCCAGGCGATGATGATGATGATGATGATGGTGGTAATGATGATGATGATGATGATGCCATTTACTGCCAGGTCAACTGATGATGAGGTCGTGGGGGGTCGTGATGGCTCAGTTGCCTCCCCGTGCACGACTCCCGTATCGTACACACAAGCATCCAAGGCCTGATAATGTTATCTTGTGTATCCACGTCATTCTCTTTATCAGCGGGAATTCACATGGGCCCTACTTCTGTCAGGCACAGGTACAGGTACAGGTACAGGTACAGGTACAGGTAAGGGAACATATTAAAAAAAAACTAATGATAGGACATTAAACAAACTATTCAGAATCAATGTTTATTATCAAATCATTTTAGTTTGTACACAAGGAAAGGTAGATACAGTAAGCTTCATTCACGTCGAAATTGCCCACAGAGAGAGAGAGAGAGAGAGAGAGAGAGAGAGAGAGAGCTCTACTATGAAAACTAAGAGTCAAAAACCTTCAAGAACATTATACCAATTACTCTAACGCCAGTACGGGAAATCTCAGCAGTGCCTGGCGTTCTTTTTTCATCCCTCATTGACACACTTATAGAAGCCAAGACAGACAAATGTTTATATACCCTTTAGTCTACAATGCCTCTCTTACAGTGTAAATACAAGCCATCAACGTTGCAGACAGAGGTCGTTACTGGCAGCGGGTTCTTCGTGTACGTGGTGTTGACGGGGTAGCTGAAGGCCACTTAAGGTGAGTACGGAAGTGGTTATTCGAGCTCTTCTTGGTACTGTTGTTGTTGCTGGGATTCCTGGGATTCCCAACTGACACCTACTACTAGCTGATGAGCACACACACAGACACTACCAGGACACGAACCATCTGACAAAACTATGTTATCACCAATTAGATAATAATCCGTTAACGACACACTTACAACACACAATGGTCGTTACTGCATTGTTTACATCTATCTATCTGAATATATTAACTTACTAGTCTGAGAACTACCTGAAGATTAGATCCTCCGGTTTATTTCACCTGACGATTAGGTTAGATTTGGTTAGATTAGGTTAATGTTAGGTTAGGTTAGGTTAGGTTAGGTTAGGTTAGGTATCTCGTCAGGCATGTAGTGTTTGTGGCTGGGCCTTATCTCAGGGTTATCTCACGTAGCAAGGATATTGCATATGACACAAGGCAAGAGTTAGTAAGACTTCAGCCACTAGCACGGCAACACCACCTCTGTTTTACCTCCTAATTACAGGTAAGTTTAATGGTGACTTGGGCCTTGTTATTGTCATTAGAGCCACTGATACTGAATACAAAATGAAAACTAATCACTCCTCAGCCACTCGTTGAGCGTGCTGATTGGTTAATATATATTTACGTCACTTGGGCCAGTTAGATCAACTTGTCAACAGTAGAGGAACAAGTCTTAAAGGGATCAACATGATTAGTTTTTAGTATTGGTAGTTTGTGCTGTAGCTTAATGCAGGATTGGGTGTAAGAATAAGTAAAAGTTTGTGATTTTTCATAAGTCTTCATGAACTAAACTCACAAGTAAATGATAGAAGCCTGTTTAAATAATATATCTCTGGAGGCTTACTGTTAAAATTGTATTGAAGAGCATGAATATTTTTGAGACAGAAATAACCCCCAAAAATAAGATATAAAAACACAAATAAGTTACAGAAATATTCAAAAGAAGAAACACTTGGTATTTTAGGAAGAGTTCTTATTACAACACATAACAGATGAAGCTACAGGAAGAGAAGAGAGTGAGTTTCTATATTATTAAACCACAGAACTGCGCTAGTGATCCGTCAGCCTCGGCTAGACCAAGAGTAACATAATGTTGTTGAATTCTATCAAACAAACTTTCACTAATACTTCCGTAGACATACAATTATTGATTAGAGGCCAAAAGTAGGCCTAAGCAAAGGACCCTCTTAGAAATAAGCAGCTGAGAATTTTGTCGACTATCCCTGGTCAAGTTGCCTTTCTGTTTACCTGCCCTGTCTAGTACGAGGTACATGGGTAACTATGTAAACTCTCACGGTCTACCTGTATGCACGCCTTGTACCTGTACTGTCAATATTCATGCTGAACTGTATACAAGTCTACAGACACGCCAATCCACGTGTAAATCTGTATGATAATTTTACTTAAAAATAATAATAATAATAATAATAATAATAATAATAATAATAAGTAATATTATTGAGGAAAAATGTGTAAAAAAAACGTAAAAATAAATGAAAAGACGTAAAAATAAACGAGAAGGCGTAATAACAAGTAAAAATACGTGGAAATAAATAAAAATACATGGAGATACGTAAAAATACATAAAAATACATGAAAAATTCATAAAAATATTTGAAAATACGTAAAAAATACATACAAATACGTGAAAATACGTAAAAAAACGTGAAAACGTTTAAAAATACGTAAAAATACGTGAACAAACTTAAAACTACATAAAATATTTATAAATAAGTAAAAGTACGTAAAAAACGAACTAGTGCGTAAAATGAAAAATTGCGTAAAAATACGTAAAGTGGGTAAGACATAATTCTCATTAGTAAGGAACCTCAAACCAATTAGAATATTTAATTATCAAAACTTCATAATCTTTGGTTCTATTAAGATAATTAATTATCGGCATGTCTACTATCCTTACTATAAACACGTTAGGTTAGGTTAAGTTAGGTATCTACATGTATTTCCATGATCTACATAATCGTTTATGGTTTTAAAAGACTTGTAGCGATTTTTCTGACGTCTGTTTAAACCATTATCCAATTTATATTTTCAGAACAGATTCTTTTTTAACGTATTAGTTTCAGCGTTACATTACCGAACAATTTCTCCACACCACCGAAATATTTGAGAATTCTATTATTTTTGTAGTAATGTGACGTTTGTGTTGTGGTTACAGGGGAAGCTTCTGTTCTTGTGTGAGGAAGGTGACGCAACAAGGTCTGACAACATGGTGAAAGGATATATGGTGAGTGATTCTTGTTCTTCTTCTTGATGTTCTTCTTGTTCTTCTTCTTGTTCTTCTTCTTGATCTTCTTGATCTTCTTGTTCTTCTTCTTGATCTTCTTGTTCTTCTTGTTCTTCTTCTTGATCTTCTTGTTCTTCTTCTTGATCTTCTTGTTCTTCTTCTTGATCTTCTTCTTGTTCCTCTTCTTGTTCTTCTTCTTGATCGTCTTCTTGTTCTTCTTGATCTTCTTCTTGTTCCTCTTCTTGTTCTTCTTCTTGATCATCTTCTTGTTCTTCTTCTTCTTTTTCTTCTCGTTCTTATTCTTGTTCTTTTTACTATTATTATTATTATTATTATTTGTATTTTTTATTATTATTATTGATATTATTATTTTATCACCATTTTTATTATTACAATTTATCATTAACTCACACAATTATTTCCGTCACTTAAACTCTCTCTCTCTCTCTCACACACATACACACACACAGAAAGATGATACCCAACCTAACCTAACCTAACCCAACCTAACCTAGCCTAACCCTTGCAGATGGGTGATACCTTCGTAACTGAAACAGTGCCCAACTATCTACTAGCAGGGGCAATATTCTACTTGATGATTGGAGGAATTAACGTTGGTATAAACTCTTATGATATATCATTCGCCGTCCCTGGTATAATCTGTTTAATATATGGAGGTGAGTTGGTCTTGGGTCAGTTTAATAATAATAATAATAATATTGTTCTGAGAGAGAGAGAGAGAGAGAGAGAGAGAGAGAGAGAGAGAGAGAGAGAGAGAGAGAGAGAGAGAGAGATCCCATTTCTTTTCACTCATCACTGTTATTCTCTCTCTTCACAGCCGCCTTCCTCGTAACAGCATTGGTCGTGCACTGTAAAATAAACTCCACCGACCCGTCGCCACAGCCTCCAGTCGCGATTAGCAGAGCCACCGAGTACCCTCCACAACACCTCAGCCAAGAACACTACCCACAACATTACCCTCCACAACACCTCAGCCAAGAACACTACCCACAACATTACCCTCCACAACACCTCAGCCAAGAACACTACCCACAACCACCACCAGCGTACAGTTAATAGTTGTGAAAAACGACTAGTGAAATGGGTTCCTAGTCCTAGTCCAAATCGCTGCCGTATTCTTAAGACCCAAAATCCATCACTGGTACAAGACTCTAACAATGTATTAGTTCACTCGTTGGGGCCTATTATGACTGGGCTTACTAGGTATTTGGGCCTATTAGAACTAGAACTTACTAGGACTCTATAATTACAAAACACCCAGTAATGGAAAGGGGATACTTGTCAATTTCCATTTTTTGGTTTATGTTCAATTTCTATATTAACGTGTATTAGTTGTCCTCTGTCACGTTTCTAACAATCAAATCTAATTGTCTCACATGGAAATTATCGACAACTCTATAATCTCTGACGTCGATATAATTACGTGTTGGTTAAGTGGTAATTAGCAATAATCGTCATAATGTAACCTGGAAGTAAAGATCGTGATCGTGTGACTAGAGATTATGTATTAAAACAGATATCTTTATAATTGCTGTGTGTTTATTTTATTCAGTTTCCTTATTTACTCTATTTAAATAATAATGTAAAGGTAAGAGAAATAAGGTAAGAAATAAGGGTCAAGAAAATAAAGAAAGGAAAATAAATTGAATAAATAATAAGAATAAATAAGAACTTATTACAGCATCGCCTCTGAAGTGTTGTTGTTATTAACTCTGAAAAAACAAAAACACACAAAAAAAAAAACACGTGAAGCAAACTGTACTTGTCCCATACCTTTGTCGGTAAAGTGGAAAACAAGGAAATTAACATAAACAAACATACACACGAATTAAGAATGTATTATTTGTTCGGTGAAAAACTGCGTGAGGGAGCAACAGATAGCCCTTAGGAACATCAGATATTGTTTAATGGGATGTTGTTTACCAGACAATATAACAGCCTAACTCTCCCCAGTACCTTCCTGATATAAAAGATTAAAAACCTTATGATAACAACGTGATCATTGTTCTTATTGTCAAATGGCATTGAGTTACAGCAGTTCCGTATCTTGTACCATTCAATGTTATCAGATCAGATTCCGACAAACTATTGAAAATTCCCTTGTGGTGACAGGGTGTGTGTGTGTGTGTGTGTGTGTGTGTGTGTGTGTGTGTGTGTGTGTGTGTGTGTGTGTACTCAAAGGGGTTAAGTCCTCATAGTTAATAAGAGACACTCACTCACATCAAGACACAAATACAATCAAAAGAGTCACTCATTACACTTAGTCACTCACTGAAGCCATTATAGGGGCATTGTACTCTCTCTCTGTGGCATTATATCGTTAGTATCATTCTGTATTTACATGAGCATAATAGAAAAAAATACTGTATTATCCTGTGTCTGTCTTTTGAATACAGCAAACTTCAGTAAACAAGAAGATACTGTTCTGGAATACCTTCACTCCCCTTATAATACAAAATTCAAATCACAGGAAAGAATACAAAATACGAGAGACAATGAATTTTATTTTTAAAAAAAGTTGGTCTAGTGATGTTAAAACAATGATTTATTAAGTTATTATCAATGAGGCTAAAAAATAATTGTCTTGGTCCACTATTACAGGTTAGGTTAGGTCAAGTTTTAGTCATTATACAGAATCAGTGGTACAGATACAGGTACAAGGAATATTACAAAAATACAGGTACAGAAATTCTGAAATGATGAGTGTTAGAACCTAACTCAGGGGTTATACAGTGTTTAAACTAAACTCAGGCACTTTAATGAATCACTAAAACAAGTATATATGTTAAATCATTTATATTTGATCGGTTAAATAAGTATGTATGTGAACATCTCATTCATAAACTGACGTCAGACATATTTCATTAAGTACAATTGCTCATTTTTTATATTTTTATTGATATTTTCATAGATTTTTTAAATTCATTCTGATACTTTCATAATGGTCGAATATTTCCAACAACTATAAGAAATTAATTTATAATGCAAACACATTGATGAAAGATATATTAACGAGACTTATTATCACTAAACACTAAAAATCCTTCCTCAGAATCCTTAGCTAATGAAGGATACGTCCAAATTCTTCGTCGTCAGTGTCCTCAGCGCCGAATTGGACTGAGATTATAGGATCTTGTTTCATCTCTGTATCGTAGGAGGTCCTGTGTGTGTGTGTGTGTGTGTGTGTGTGTGTGTTCAAGAGATCCCTGGAGAGTTTAAGGGTTTAAATCGGGGTCAAAGTGGAAGTAGCATTTGCTTCTTGAGATGCTGCATGGAGGGACAAATCTGAAATCCGTATCTGAGATGCTGTCGTGGTCAGATTTCACTTTACTGAGACACGTAGTAAGAGCTATGGAAGGCAGTATGAAGGGGGGTGGTAGTAGATTAAGTGTAGCGATATTGTTGTTGCTGCTGTGGGTACCCAGCTTGCTGTTGTATGTATACTGCCTGTGGCTGTGTAACGTAGGCAGTACCTGGGACCACACCCACTCTCACGGGCATGTGAGGTTCTGTAGCGCCGCTCAGCAGGTAGAAGAAGTACCCACCAATGGCGAGTAACACCACTGTGAAGAGAGGTACTCAGATTAAGGCAAGGTTCATGGATTATATAATATCTAATTATTTATATTTAATTATATATCTAATTATAATACCTTTGATTATAAATGTCTCTGGTTACCATTAACTTATATAACGTCATGAAAATAACATAACAGAGACCAATACATTTGAACACACGTATAAAAACACCCCCAACCACCCTCACCACCCACCCCCACCCTTCCTCACCACCACACCCCCACCCTTCCTCACCACCACACCCCACCCTACCCTACCACACCCACCTCCAGTCACCATACAGGAGATCGCAGAGACGAGCAGGTTGTTCTTGTATACGCTACACGCATAGTTGTCCCAATCATAATAATCCAAGTCGTTAAAGTCGAAGCTATAACAGTCCCCAACTGAGCCGTAGACACCGAAGCACACGCAGCTGACGAGAATGGTGAAAACAGCCCCCACCGTCAGGCCAATGGGGACAGTTCTGGTGATGTAAGCACCACACGCCTGGTGGGAGAGACACGTGTTGAGTGGCGGGTGTTGAGTGGCAGGTGTTGAGTAGCAGGTATTGAGTAGCAGGTGTTGAGTGGCAGGTGTTGAGTGGCAGGTGTTGAGTGGCAGGTGTTGAGTGGCAGGTGTTGAGTGGCAGGTATTTATGTATATATGTTGACAGGTGTTCTGGGTATAGAATGTTTGAAACTTAACCTAACCTAAGTATTACAATTATACTGATATATCAGAAATATACTGAAAAAAGTGTACTTACCCTGACTCCCACAACCATGGCTGCTGTTGTTGTTGTTGTTGTTGTTGATTATCCAGAGGTTCGTCTTATCTTCAAAGAGGTTAGGTTATGTTAGGTTAGGTTAGGTTAGGTTAGGTTAGGTTAGGTTAGGTTATGTTAGGTGAGGTTAGGTTAGTCAATCAGAATATAATAATATAATCAGCAGTATAATCAGTCGCAATACCGTGGTGGTTTTCAGGCTATCGGTGTGGCCAGGTAGTCAGTGGTGGGAGTAGTAGTAGTGGTGGTAGTAGTAGTAGTAGTAGTGGTAAAAGTGGTGGTGGTGGTAGTAGTAGTAGTAGTAGTGGTAAAAGTGGTGGTGGTGGTGGTGGTAGTAGTAGTAGTAGTAGTAGTGGTGGTAAAAGTGGTGGTGGTGGTGGTAGTAGTAGTGGTAGTGCTTGCGGTGACGTTGATAGTGGTGGTGGTGGTGGTAGTGGTTGTGGTGACGATAGTGGCGGTGATAATGGTGCCACACACACACAAAGATAAGTTACCTACACCCCTCTCTCTTGTCTTACAGATAACACCAGTAACACCAATGAGCTTTCATATAAGAGCCTTTACCAACTCCTTAAATAAAACTCTATATCATCTTTACTAATATTTACATAACAACTAACAACTCCCATCAATGTTGTTAGTTGGGTGACGTGAAGCGAGGAGAGGTTATTGTTATCGTTGTGTGTGTGTGTGTGTGTGTGTGTGTTTTAGTTATATATGATGCGACCTTAATTTACCTTTATTTCCGGTGATTATATGTAATATTTCATGACACATACACACACACACACACACACACACACACACACACACACACACTACATACACGTACAGGTGTAATCGATATCAGGTGATTAATTAACCTTCAGGTGATATTACTAAGTATAACTGCGTCAAAAACACCTTATCAATTGTCCTCTAAATTTGTATCTGAGTTAATATCTGGTAATGGTAAACGCAGTACTAACTATTCTGACGGAAAATGAAATTAGTTACAGCAATGGGAAAATGAAGGAAATTTTAAGACTGGGGGAAATGAGATGTTGTAGTGTTATAAATTAGAGATGAGGGAATAATGTAACGAAGTGATATTGAGGGAAGGAGAGGCAGGGGAGGGGAGGAAGAGGCAGAGGAGGGTAGGAGGCAGAGGTGGGGAGGGAGGAGAGGCAGGGAGGGGGGAGGGAGGGGAGGCGGGGGAGGGAGGGGAGGAGGCAGGGGGAGGGGGGGGAGGGAGGAGAGGCAGAGGTGGGGGAGGGAGGAGAGCAGAGGTGGGGGAGGAGGAGGAGAGCAGGGGGAGGGGGGGGAGGGGGAGGAGGAGCAGAGAGGGGGAGGAGGAGGCAGCGGAGAGGGAGGAGGGCAGAGGAGGGGGGAGGAGGCAGAGAGGAGGGTGGGGAGGAGGAGAGCAGAGGAGGAGGGGAAGGGAGGCAGAGGGAGGAGGAGGCAGCGGGGGAGGGGGGAGGAGGAGAGGGGGGGAGGGGAGGAGAGGCAGAGGAGGGGGGAGGAGGAGAGGCAGGGGAGGGGGGAGGGTGCAGAGAACTGATGGGCAAAACTATGAGATCGTTTTAACCTTTTAAGGACGATGGTTTAAAATATAGTCTTCAAAGGTTTAAACCATTGTCCTTAAAGAGTTAAAACATCGTCTTCAAAGGGTTAAACCATCTTTCTCAAATAATTAAAACCACTCATAAAGGTATACAGGTAACTGACTTGACTTGCACTTCTCATTAATTATTCATACAAGCACAGGTGTATTCTATATATACGTACAGGCCTTCATATAAACCCTTTCACGTAATTCCCCGACCACAAATGATCCAGACTCTCATCATACGTATAGTTAAGTTCTACTATACTGGAAGTATGCACAAATTTATTATGAAATTATTATCACAAGCGGTTACAAACACTCGTAATTTCTTGAGATGATGATGATGATAGATGATGATGATGATGATGATGATGATGATGATAGATGATGATGATGATGATGATAGCAACTTGCGTTCATCATCCCCCCCCCCTCCCCCCCCCGAGACAGACAACTTTAAGAAATAAACGTTTTCAGAACTTCCCCATCAGAGAAAGTTATATTACAGTTCAAGTAGTGGAGGTGCTTACTGCTGTATCGAAGACCTTCCTGACGCAGATGACGAGAGAACAACAACAAGAACTGAAGGAGAGACGCAACTGCTCCTAAGGCTCGGCGGAAGAACTAACTGTATGGCCGATGAGCAATTCACCGTCACTGATAAAACTGATAACATATTGCTGCGTTATCTTTTATCTCTTATCATGTTATCAGAGCTGTTCGGGGGAAGGGGGAGCAATAAGATCATATGCATTTCCTGAGAGCGTTCAGGGGGCTATAATGGTGTTGTTGTGTTTGTCTGTTTGTCAGTCCTGTGTTGTGTAGTTGAGGTTGGGGGGGTTAGGTACCTGGTGTTGACTAAGTGTGTGTGTGTGTGTGTGAGGGAGGTTTGGAGGGATGAGGAAGAAGAATGTGGATGGCAGTGAGGAATAGGTGTTGAGAGGTGAGGAAGGGAGGAATATGGAGAAGTGAAGAAGGGAAGAGTGTGAAAAGGAGTGAGGGAATATGGAGGGGTGATGGGGAGGGAGTGTGGAGGGGAGGGAGTAAGGGAGAGAGGGAGGGGGGTGTGGAGGGGAGGGAGTAAAGGAGGGAGGAGTATGGAATATGAAGTGGAGTGAGTGAAGTGGGATAACACTGACTGACCCACTACCATCACCTTATCTTTCTCGTGAGTCCTGTGTGTCTGTTTGCACGTTACTCATATCCTCTCTACACACGGATCCGACCCTCTTGACCTTGTTTGGTGACCCACAACACAGGTCACAGTCACAAAAGAACACGTCCACACAAGGGAATAACTCGTAAACAAAGCTATGATCTTACATAGAGACACCTAGAGAATAGGTTAATAACTCGTTTAAATACCAAAGGAAAGCATCTCCCTTTGCCCTAACATGAACGTCTAGTCATAGGTTAAGGTCATATTATAAAAAAAACAAAAAAGCATTTACACTCTCTTGACCCAACATGACAACCCAGAACTCAGGTCAAACCATAACTCAGGTCAAACCATAACTCAGGTCAAACCAGAAGTTAGGTTAAGCTCACAGTTGGAATCCTCATAACATTGAAAATTCATCTCACTGACCCACTATTTATACTGAAGAACAACAAGTACTTAGTCTTCGTCTCTCTGTGGTAAATGGGACGATTACCTGAGACGTGTGAAGGGTGTTCGGTCCACAGACAATGGCAGACTGTGTGTGTGGGGGGGTGACTCTGATTGAAGGTGTAGCTGAGAGAGAGTGTAACAATTGCTGAGTGAAATACAGTGTGATTGTATTCCTCCAGGTGAAGTTGGGTAAAGGTGTCATGTGAGGCTGTGTGTGTGTGTTTGTATCATCACCCAACATGACCTCCCTTCGACACACGTCACGATGTTAGCAGAGGGATGTAGAGGGGGGGTGGGGGTTAGGAGCGACCTCTGACCCCAACAAAGGAAGGGAGGGAAGGGGGGGGAGGGAGACAGAGAAGTAGGGTAACAAAGGAAATGATGAATGCAGGGCCAGGTAGGTGGATGACACCCACTGAGGAAGGTAAGAGAGGATTTGATTGGAGTGCAGCGACACGTAACACGGAACACGATACAGGTACAGAAATAGGTCTAATTACAGGTATACATGTAAACATTGGAGTAATTACAGGTATAGATACTAGTATAGCTGCAGGTGTGTGTGTTCTCGTGGACGCTTGGTAGAGTGAGGCTGGAAGGGTAGCTGACGAGTATGTCCAGTCAGCTCTTGGTGTTCATGCATGGAAGGTTGAGGGAGAAGTCTAGAGAGTTCTCATTCGCTCTTGGAAGATGAAAGAAGACGTAGGCCGCTCTCAAATGCTCTCGGCAGGTTGGGGACGAAAGGATCAGTTGATACGAAGATAAAAATTCTGATCGCGCGAAAAATAACATTATTGGTTTAGAAGGAAGCTCTTTCACCTATGAACTCTCAAACGCTCTCGGTAAGTCGAAATTTGGGTCCCGTGAGCTCTTAGAACCACAAACGAAGGAAACTCAAAACTTCCAATAACTCTTGAGAGATTCAGAAAACACAAACACTACAGGTTAGGTCAGGTTAGGTTGGTTAGGTTAGGTTCATGACGGAACACCCACAGCGTCTTGGGGAGGAAGGAACTCTAGCCAAACAAGCTTATCTGATCACCTACCTTGTATCAACATGACCATGATGTGAGTTCTGGCCAGGGATGGTTCATATGTTTCGACGATCACTGACCATACGAGGAGGAGGAGGATGATCGTGAGGTTTTTATAAGGATTTGAGTTCACTGTTCATCCAAATTCATCTTTTGATTCCGGGGAAGTTGCTGTTGATGATTTTATTAAGGTGTAAATCATTTATATAAGAAGGGTCTCTCTCTCTCTCTCTCTCTCTCTCTCTCTCTCTCTCTCTCTCTCTCTCTCTCGTCTCCCAGCCTTGACAGTTTCTTACACCATGAGCCGTGAACCAGCCTTTCCCCTCACCTCTATTCTTCTCCACCTTAATTACAGTTGAGACAAGATGTAAGGTAAGTAAGTGGGATACACCTGAGGCTGTGTGTGTGTGTGTGTGTGTGTGTGTGTGTGTGTGTGTGTGTCGACGATGGACTAGACTAACTTTATTATTAACCTGTAAATCGTTGTATGATTTTCACTCAAAAATTATCATGTGTGAGAGAGAGAGTTATGGATAAACAAAATGAAGTCACACACACACACACACACGCGCGCGCGCGCGCGCAAAGAAATGAGCGCTGCAGAACAAATTAGAAGAAGCCAAAGAAGTGTGTTGTCCGCCCAGCAATACAACAGTAAAGTTACCTATAAGGAGTGAGGCAATTATCGAATTAACTTTTAACCCCTTTGACTACGGTAATTTAACCCCTTGAGTACCATAACTTAATACCCTGAGAAACATAGCTTAACCCCTTGAGTACCTTGGCTTAATACCTTAAGTACAGTAGAATTGTTACATTAAGTTAGGTTCTTATTCCCTGAAGACGATCTTAATCACCGAGTCCAATTAATTATCACATATGGGAAATAATTACCATTAAACACAACCAAATAAACACACATTACTGTCAATGATGAAACATTTTAACATCAGAACATAAACACACTCAGAACATAAACACACTCAGAACATAAACACTCAGAACATAAACACTCAGAACATAAACACACTCAGAACATAAACACTCAGAACATAAACACACTCAGAACATAAACACACAGAACATAAACACTCAGAACATAAACACACTCAGAACATAAACACACAGAACAAAAACACACTCAGAACAAAAACATCCATTATTATTACAAGATGGTCGACTCAACCTCCAGCACGAGTTCCATCAGCTAGGGGATACTTACCTAAATTCAACTCCCTCTGATGAGTGTCGCAATCTTCAATACTTTATAACTCCTTAAGGCACTTGGTCCTAAACCTTAATCCCGGTAATTGCTATGTTGTTGTCATCATCGAGTCGAGGTTACGTCTATGACTTATCCACTTAGGGGCAATTCGAGAATGCTTGGTACCCCTCCTTACCTACTTCCCCCCCTCCACTCCCCCTCCCTCCCTCTCCTCCCCCCCTACTTCTTGTCCCCTCCCCCTCCCCATAGTTATTACGGTGCTCCTGCCAACACGAACCATCAATACATTAATGCCCAATCGTCTCCTTCCTCTCGTATACGACTGAGATAATAACTGGCTTGAGAAAGAACGAGTCAGGTGTGAGTCACGTATATATATATATATATGTGTGTGTGTGTGTGTGTGTGTGTGTGTGTGTGTGTGTGAGGTTCCATAACGTAAGGTGAGGGTTGTGAGGCTGACTCGAGTAGTGTAGTTTTATGAGAGACTGTCACGATCACCTGACCACATTAGAGGACTATCAGTGGAAAGGTGGGTGGGTGGGTAGGTGAGTGGCTGTCGGTGGGTAGGTAGGTCTTTCTCTCACCAATTTACCTATAACATACTCTAAGATGAACCTAACCTAACCAAACCTAACCGAATCTAACCTAACCTAACCTAAGGCTTAACTAACGTGGCATTTACTGAGAGTTGTGAAGCTAGGAAGCATTCGTCTGGATATACCTGTGAAAATTAGCATATTTCACCTGTCCAATTTCATATTTCCGTCGAATTTAAGTGACAGTAATTGCGGCTAAAGGCGATATCGATATAACAAGAGGTTTAATATTAAGTGGTCTTGTGTTTTAGTTTTAGTTTAAGATCATTTTGTGCTGTCTGTCTGTCTGTCTGTCTGTCTGTCTGTCTGTCTGTCTGTCTGACTCTCTTCTGTACACCCGACAACTGTTTGACCGTTTCTCCATTCGTCTGTCTATCTGTTTTCAGTATGCTTTCTGTCTGTTTCACGTCTGCTTGTCTGTTCATCGACTGTCTGGTTGTTTCGTCGACCATCTTTCTGTCTAAATCTTCGTTTTTTGTCTGTTTCTCCATCTGTCTGTCTGTTTTTCCGTCCGTTCTGTGTCTCCGCGTTGTGGTAGACAGTACATGTGGTCGTGAGATAATGATGTAAATATTAATAAATCCTGAATTAGGACACACACACACACACACACACACACACACACACACACACACACACACACGTCAAAAACTCATTGTAATTAGTCAAGACACGAACTAGACAAGGAAAGGAAATTGATAGGGCGTGAAGAGGCAGAAATGTGCTCAGGTAATTAAGGGGCCTTGGTGTAAGAGGAGTGTTAGTTGACCTGTTTCCTAGCCTCACCTGAAGATTATCCACCCTAACCTAACCTAATACTAACTTAACCCTATCTAACCTAACCTAACCTAACCCTATCTAACCTAATACTAACTTAACCCTATCTAATCTAACGTAGCCAAAACCATTCTGACCAAAACCAAGCCTAACCTAACCCAACCTAACCTGACCACACAGTTCTTAAATAAATAATAAGGTTCAACTAGATTAAAAATAATACGGGGAAAATTTTGAACTTAAAGCCAAGAAGAGACGAGAAAAAGACAGACAGACAGAGAACTTTCAACCGAGGGATAATTCTACGCCACATGAGATACACAGAGAGAAAGAGACAAGTTATATCTCTTCGGGGAAAGAAAAATAAACAAAAAGAAATGAGAAAAAGTTA